GAATTGTGCCCAGCCAGACTGTGGCATTTGGTAGAGCACTTGCCTAGCATGTGTGAGGCACTGGGTTCAATTCTCAGCACCACATATAAATAAAATAAAAGTCCATTGACAACTAAAAAAAAAATACTAAAAAAAAAGAAAAAGAAAAAGAAATGAGCTAGCAAATCATGAAAAGACATGGAGAAAATTTAAGTGCATATTTCTAAATGAAAAGAAGTAAATTTAAAATGGCTACATAGTGATTCCAACAATATGACATTCTGGAAAAGGCAAAGTTGGAATCAGTAAAAAGATCAGTACTGGTCAGGGGTGTTGAGAGGAGGATGAACAGCACAGATGAGTTTTAGGACAGTGAAAAAAGCCATCCTAAAAATTCTCAGCAAGAGCTGGGGATATAGCTCAGTGGTAGGACACTTGCCTAGAATACATGAGGCCCTGAGTTCCTGAGTTCAATTCCCAGCACAGCCACAAAAAAAAAAAAAAAAAAAAAAGCAACTCTTAGCAAATCAAAAATGGAAGGGAATATATTTAACCTGATAAAGGGCATTTGTGGGAAAAAAATGCAATGGTTCATACAATGGTGAAGTATTACATACTTTGCCCCTAAGATCAGGAAAACCAAGGAAAGAATTGTCTACTCTTAACATTTCTATTCAATACTCTTGGCCTCCACCAATCTCTTTACTGTCTCCATGTTTGCTTTTTCCAGAATGCCATAGTTAGAAAGTTGGAATCATACAGTATGTAGAATTTTAAATTAGCTTCAAAGTCTTTTCATGAATTCATAGCTCTTCTTTTTAGCAATGAAAATTATTCTTTTACCTGGATGTACCACAATTTATCCATCCATTTACCTACTGAAGTACATATTAGTTGCTTCCAAGTTAGAACAATTAATTTGCAGAAAGATGCCATAAACATCTGTGTGCAGATTTTTGTATGATCATAAGTGTTAGAGTCTGTAAACAAGTCAGGATGGCGCCTGGCAAATGTTAGAGTCTGTAAACAAGTCTGGATGGCGCCTGGCATTTTGCCAGAGGGAGTGGTTTGTGAAGTAACGCCAGCGAGCCATTAAGTGTGGAGATTCCTTATTGGTTGACTGCTGTAACTAGTTTATGTTAATTAGATAAGCTGTGTGGAATGTATAAATACCTCTGTTGTCCTACAATAAACGGCTCCCACTCCTGCTGTATCAATGTACACAAGTTGCTCGTCACCCCCCGGCTATTTTGCTGCAGCCGGACTTCGGCAATAAGTCTGCAACTCCTTTGGGGAAATACTAAGGAATGTGGTTCCTAAATTATATGGTAAAGGTATAGTTATTTATTATTATTATTATTTAATTTTGCTAAAATATCTCCAAAATGGCTGTACCACATCCTTGTCAGCATTTGGTATTGTTGTCAGTTTTCTGGATTTGGACCATTTTAATAAATATGTAATGGTATCTTTTAAGATTTTAAAAATATGGACACAATATCTTTATTTATTTTTATGTGGTGCTGAGAATTGAACCGAGTGGCTCATGCATGCTAGGCAAGTGCTTTGCCACTGAGCTACAGCCCCAGACCTAGTTTGCATTTCTTTGATGGCATAGGAAATGGCACATCTTTTGTATGCAAATTTGTTGTCTATGTATCTTCTTTGGTGGGATGAAGTCTTCAGTCCATTTTTAAAAATAAGGTTATGTTCTTATGGAATTCTAAGAGTTCTCTGTATATTCTGGATAACAGTCCTTTACCAGAAAAGTCTTTTGCAAGAAGCATTTCTAAGATCTTTTTTCCAATCTGTTAATTTTTCTCTTTTGTTAATGCATGTGAATGCTTTTTGTTTTCAAATATTAAATAAAGCTTTGAGGATTAAGATCATAATATACATATTAATCCATTTTTATATGGATTTGATTTGGTATATTTTAATTGTATACCTAGCTGGGCATAGTTATGTCTGCCTGTAATCCCAGCAGCTCAGGAGGCTGAAGCAGGAGGATCACAATTTCAAAAGCCAGCCTCAGCAACTTAGGCCCTAAGCAGTTTAGTGAGATCCTGTCTCAAAACATAAAAATGGGCTAGGGATATGGCTCAGTGGTATAGCACTTGCCTGGCATGCATGAGGCCTGGGGTTTGATCCCCAGCACTGGGGTGAAAAAATTAAAAAAAAAAAAAAAAACCTTGCCTGTGAAGCCAGGTGTGGTGGTGCACACTTGTAATCCCAATAACTTGGAGGGTGAGACAGGATTGCACGTTCAAGGCCAGCCTCAGCAACTTAATGAGACCCTATCTCAAAATAAAAAATTAAAAAGGGCTAGGGATGTAGCTCAGTGGTAAAGCGCTCCTGGGTTCCATCCCCCCCCCACAAAAAAAATTGCCTGTAAAATCATTTGCACCAGAGTTTAAGGGTAACCTTTGACATATAAATTCAATATCTTCAATATATAAGACTTAAAAAGACTTTACATTTCATCTTGTTTTAGTATGTTGTATTTTTTTTTCCCTTGATACTGTATATTGAACCCAGAGGCTCTTAACCATTGAGTCACATCCCCAGCACCAGCACCACCACCACCCCTTTTTTTAAAGATAGGGTCTTGCTAAGTTATGTAGGGCCTTGCTAAGTTGCTGAGGCTGGCTTTGAACTTGTGATTTTCATGCCTTAGCTTCCCCAGTCACTGGGAATAATTACAAGTGTGAGCCACTGAGCCCAGATAGTATGCAGTATTTTTCAAAGATCATTTTTCTGTTCCATCTAAGCTGTCAGTTTTATTATCTTAAAATTGTTCATAATATCCCTTTATCTTTTTCATGTCTGTGGAATCTAATCTTGTACCCTTTTATTCTTGATACTGGTATAATGTCTACTTCTTGATCCATTTAACTGGGGAATTACCTCTCCCATAGAATGTGGGCTTTCTAAACTTTTAATGTTTGTCTAATGTTTGTCTACTCTTTCCTTCTATTTATTCTTTCTCTTCGTAGCTTAAGGTGGAAATCTGTATAAGAAACAATTATAGCTATACATTTACCTCTAAGCACTATTAAAGCCAAATCCTATAAATTTTATTTTCATTATCTTTCAGTTAAAAAACATTTTATAATTTATCTTGTGACTTCTTGTCTTAGAAGTTTTTCCAAGTTTTTATCTTCTGGCTTTTGAGAACTATTTTATAGCCCAGTATATGATTTGTCTTGCTGAATGTACTGTGTGCACTGCAAAGAATGTATATTCTGGGCTCAGGGTGTGGTTCAGTTGGTACAGCACTTCCCTTAGTAGAAAAAAGAAAAAAAAAAGTGCAATCTGCAGTTATTGCTTGTAGGATTCTATAATAAGTATCAAGTCAAAGTGGTTGATGTGTCCTTTTCCACTTATTATTTCTATCAATTGCTGAAACAGAAATTTCTTCTATGATTATTTTCATGGTATATCTTCAATGGCACAAGTTTGGGCTTTAGCTTTTTATTCTTTCTCTGTGCTTTTTCAATTTAATGTTTATTTCATTTTAATTATCAATATGATAGGATTTACACTTACCATTTTGCTACTTTGTTCCTTCTGGCTTCTGTTGGGGTGGGAATTGATCTTTCTGTTTTTCTTTTCCACCCCCTTTTAAGCATTAGTTGTACACCCTACCACATAAACTCTAAAACAGCAATCTCTCAGTCTCTTTTAACCCCTTATCCTTTATAGATATTGTATTTATTTAGGTTCAACCTCACAATGTAGTAATTTTTCATTAAATAAGCATATATTTTAAAATATTTAAATCAAGATAATATTTCATATTGCTTATATTTGTTATCTGTGGGAGATCTGGTTCAACACGAGCTACTTTGCTATTATCAAACGATAATAGATTTTTTTCTTGACAAAGTACGCCTCACTTTTACTGTTGGGAACTAAGAGTTTTGCACTAATATTATTCAGTAAGGACACTGTTTACATCATGCTAGTTTATACTTGTATTTTCCTGCATCTACTTCACATCATCAAAAACCACATCTGTATCTTTGATTATATAATCAGTCTCAGTTTCCTAATTTTATTAAAATTGTGATAAGCAACCCCCATAATAGAAATTAGGATAGTTTTCACACCAGAATGCAAATCCACATCCCAAAATCTGAACAGGAACAACCTAAGAGTATTTAAGTTTTAAGAAAATCTAAGCCCAAGTTAATGTGGAAAGCATTGCTGGGGGCTTGACTGCAATCACTGGATGCATGGTAGTACCTTACCGCAAAGAAAACCTTCAAATCTATGATTTTCAGCTATCATTCAAATCTAAATTACTCCTGAATCTTCATCTTCAAACCAATTTCACTCCTGCAATCCAGCTATTCAGCTATCTTAGTGATATCATTATTTGGAAGTCCTAAAGATAAACATGTCTAAAAGTAGACTCCACAATCAGCCCTCAATTTTATTTCCCCAGTATTATTTTACTCTAAATCCAGAAATGGGTCCCCATCCTAAAACCACATTCAGTCAATCTCTAGTTTCTGTCGATTTTAGATCCTGAATCTCTCTCATGTCTCCTTCTTCCTCTCCATCTTTGTTTATATTCTCATCTCACTGAGACCTCTACAATAACCTTTTCAACTAGATCAGTTCAGTCTAGTATGTTAGCCTCCACACTAATACAGAAACTGAGTTTTCTCAACTTCTCAGGATGCCCAGTTCTGTCACATACCCACTAAGATAAGGGTTTCTACTTCTGATACCTTGCTCTGTTTCTGAGATATGGAGAATTGCTCAGCTGCTTCTTCAATGTCAAATCATGTCCAGTCATAAAGAACTCCAAACACAGTTTGGTTTGGAATAGAAGGTAGAAAACCTTCCACTTATGGTGAGTAAAAGGCATTTTAAGTGAAAAGTGGGGACAAGCTCTCAAGCAAACTGATGCCTGCCCTCTGTCAGGGCAGGGCTGCTGCTGATACCAAGTAAGAAGTTCTTCCTCTAATTTCAAACTAGGCTTGGAAACAGGTAAGGGAGGACAGTGATCATAGTTTTTTAAACATTTTAATGTGATCTCTTATTTTTACACCTGAGTTACAACTTTCCCCAAAGGAATAATGATACATAATCTTATAAAGGACATATAGATAATATATTGATAGCATCTGGTTAGTGGTTATTCTCATTGATCGTCTTATACTAAAATTTATCAGCTAAGAAGTTTTTCCCTTTTTAAAAAATCCTTGGTCCTGATACCGGACCAGCTCATGGCTCCTAGTTCTGACATGATCTGGTTCTAGACTCTGACCTCTTGCAAGAACCAAATACAGGGACTTATTGAATTCCCTTTGGGCAAATGCAGCTGGATACTTACCAGTCTGGCCTCAACTTAGCATTTTTTTTCATCATTTCTTTCAGACTGTGAAAAAACTATATTATCAATCCAAGATTTATGTTTGCCTTGCAGATGGATTACCCCACAGTCTGAAGATCATCCCAGTTAAGCCATGGCTTCAGTATCACAGAGCTACTACACAGAGGTCTCTCAGCCTTTCCTTGCATGAAGGAAGTGGAGAATCAACCAGGAGATAAAAGTTCTTTTAAAACCAAACAGCTCGTGTGCCTTGCTAGCTCTTAAGTTTCACATACAGCCGACGCCTTGCTCCAAATCTTAATCTACTAGACTGTCTTTTCCTCATGTCCTGGTGGATCGGGCCAATAAAGGGCTGCACAGGCCTTAGGTTCCTCGTGAGCATGGTAATACCCTGTGTTCTAATTCAGTGGTGCTCACAGGGAATAGTGCTGGCCTCCACGATGCCTGATCATATAACATTCCTTGGTCCAGTACCTCCTCACCCAGAAACCCCTACTCCAGGGTCATCCTGCTCCTATTTTTCTCTTGTTTGCTCTGATGTTTCCACAATGGGCTCTGGCTCCAGAGGAAGAGATGGTGGCTTTGTGAGCTGGGATGTTCCACCAACACCTAATAACAAAACAATTAGCATAAATTCTTAGTTAAATTTCAAGAGAAAACCCAAATTTGGGGAAACTAGCAAGACGATGGTGTATCTTTGCAGCTATGAGGGAAGGCAATAACTAAATAAATAAAGCAACTGTCAAGTCTGTCTTCAGTGAATCACTGAAAAAAAAAAATCTTCAATTTCCTGTACCATACCATTCTACAATAAAACACTAAAAATTAAAGTAAGACTGTATAACAGAATTTATTTACTAATGTATTTTCTCCCCCATCCTACACTTGAAACAGGGTCTTGGTAAATTGTAGACTGAACTTGAACTCACAATCTTCTCGCCTCAACCTCCTAGGTAGCTGGGATTACAGGTATGTGCCATCATGCCCAGCCTTGCTAATGTATTTCTAAAACTGTGAAGACTGTATTGCCTTACAGTTAAGTCTGCTGATGCTGTTAACTACTACATAGCTTACAGTAAGAAAACAGATACTAGTTTGGCCACCCTTTTTTTTTTTTTTTTTCATCCCACTGGCCAATACTAAACTGACCATATTCTGAGTCTGAAGAATGTAAGCCTCACTCAAAGTTGTAATCTCTTTGTTGGCATAGGCAGCTTGTACCCACTACATTTTTATGGAACTTTGTGTAGCCTCCTACCTGAAGGGAGCTTCCTATATGCAACTGCTGAAGACATTGCCTGTCCAAGAGCTTGATTGGAGCCCAGAGGCTGTTGGAAACCAGCAGGTTTTCCAGTTGAACTGATTCGGTGCTTCGATTTGGGATCTTTAACTGGTTTAGTCCAGACCAGTGCCTCCCCTACCTGGAGAGCAGCTCCCAACTTCTGAGCCATCTCCACCATCTTGTGTCCACATGAAAAGAAAAAAAAAAAAGAGTTATAAGCATGACTGGCAGAGACTAGTCAACCCTCCTATTTTGGATCTTCCAACCAAGAGGGTTAGCTGAAATGGTGTCTGCTGGCTAGCATTTGAAGGAGGAAATATTCACTGCAAAGGAATCATTCTGAAAGGGCAGAGAATATAGACTGTCTTTAGTGGCTAGCAAGAGGGCCCATGTAGGATCTCAAAACCACCAACTGAAATCTGATGTATCATTGGACTAACTTCTGCCTTTCCTACATGAAGGGAAGTGGGAAGAAGCTATGCAGAGACACAGACCTCAACTCAAATGAGTAATAACAAATCAGTAAGCCTGAAGTTCTTTTTACTATTATTTTCTTCTAGAAAAGTTTACCTTGGACTGTAACTGACAAACTCATGCTGCAAAGATCATCAAAGCCAAAAAGAGTCATGAGCCTAGAACACCTTTATAATTGCATTATTTTGGAGTGACCTAAAAGTCTGCTGACAGCTTGCTTAAAATGACTGAGAGCTAATAAAAGACATACCTCAGGATCAAATTCCAGAGAGCTATTATCCTTGAGAAAGTTAACTTTCTTTTCCATCTCCTGATACTGGGCCAGGGCATCCTTCTTCTCACCCTGGTTGTACAGCAGCACAGCATAGTTCAGGTTTACTAAAGGGTTACACCTGTGGCAGGCAGACAGATACTGTGGAGCAGGAGCTTTGCAACAAATGCACATTTAGAAATCCTTCTCCTTACTTGAAACAAAACAAAACTGATTTGAGTGGAGATTTCTCCAATACCCAGTAATGTGGGAATATGCTATGTACACTTGTGGAAAAGAATCAAGGAACTAATTGCTCAACAAGCAAAGCAGGTATTGGGACCAAGTCTGGCATCTCAGCCCTCAACAGAGAACACTCAGGATAGGTTGTAAAAGGGCCCTACTGTAGTAGATGCTAGTGGAATAAATTCTGAAAGAGTCAAGTTTATCTTAGATCAAGCTGTGCCCTGAGTTCCATCTGATACTACAGCTAGCCCACAATTAATCAGCAATCCAAGGCCACTGCTGCCTCTGGCTTTCTATGGCTTCCTGATTACTAAACTTGGAACAGGAAATATTTCTTCAGAGTATTAATTCCTGCTGAGCCCTGCTTCCTCAGGAACCATATCCTTCTACATTTGGTCCTGCTGTGTATGATGGCCATGCAGGAGTGTTTGGCTGACTCAAGCAGCACTACTGGTACAGTACCACCTCATGGCTTTGATGAGTCCCACCTTCCCCAGTACCCTTCCCCCAGTAGCGTACTTATCCAGGCGAACTGCTTCTGCATAGGCTCTCTTGGCATTCTCTGTATCTTCCAGATTGGTCAGAGCCACTGCAACCAAGAAAATGAGGAGAGCTAAGCTTAGAAAACAAAATAGTGTATTTCAAGACCACTCCCAGAGCTGGGGGTGTAGCTCAATGGAAAAGCACATGCCCAGCATATGAGAGGCTCTGATTTGATCTCCAGCACCACACACATGCCAACCCAACCCCGAAGTGAACTCCTCCTCTGCCCCATCAACTATGGCACTGCTGTATATTCTCATTCCACTTAGATACCTCTTCATAGTTAACAGTTCTATGCATTCTACTTTTGTAGTTTCTTTTCTGACACTGCCCTAGTTTAAGCCAAGTCAGGTTTTCCATTTTCCCCAGCAAAAATGTCTCCACTTGCCTCCATTCCAGTTTTCCTGTGGTATCAGATGTCTCACTCACTGACAAATAAATCTAACCACATCACTGGCCCTACTTAAGAATCCTCAGTGGTTCTCCATGATCTTTAAACTATTATTTAGCAATAGAACACTTCCCTTCTCTTAAATCAATTCCTGGAAGCCTAATGTACAAAACAATGAGAGTTCTTCTAAAAAGCCCTGCCTATTTCATGTTCCCATCAGGCAATTATAATAGGCACCTATAAGATCTAGGATTATGGCTGGACAGGCAGCCTATAGGATAAAGTCTACAGCCCTTGGACTATTCTCATGGCCCTCTATAATCTGACCCCAGATTATTTTATCTGACTCATCTTCCACCACATTCTCTGACAATATTGCCCACTAACTTCATGGGACACTGCAATTTCATGGCTGTACCTCTGTTCACAGTGGTTCCTCATTCTCCCTGTGCTATTCAAGTCCAACTTGTATTATGGAAAATACAAGGAAAGTTATGTCAGATTCATTCCACTGTCTTTCCTTTCTTCTATGGGATATTTAGCCACTGATTCTAGTTCATTTTTCCCTCATTATAGACCATAAGAAGAGGTTTCCATATAAATAATGTCTCCTACCAGCCAAGAGCATGTAGAGCTCCCCCATCTTTGGCTGGAAGTTGATGGCTGCACTGAGGAAATGGAAAGCTGATGCATACTGCTGCATGGTCAAATGGACAAGGCCCAAATTATACAGGATCTTCCAATCGAAGGGTGCCAAATAGTTGGCTCTTTTCAGGCAGCTGATAGCCTGCAGGGGAGAGAGGGCACTCAATGAAAAGGTGGAGCAAGCTCAGCAGACCCAATAACCACACGAATGAAGACAAAGAATGTGAAGGGACACTCACTGCCACATATTTCTTCTTGCCAAAGAAACACATTCCAATATTATTCCAGAGTGGAGGACTTTCTGGAACAGCACAAGCTACAACTCTGTATTTGGTGAGGGCAACATCAAAGTCCCCATGGGTCTGCATCATGCTGCCTGCTGCCAAGATGGCCTAAAAACATGGCATGTGGAAAGTTAGTAATTCTGTTATTCCCAAAGGCAAGGGCAGTGAAGTAGCCTCCTAAATGTAGATAACTCAGCAGGCCCATCAGTATAGATAAGACTGAAAAACTTCTCCCAGAAACATAAATAATACGAAGCTACAGTGACAAGTGCTCCTGAGGAATGTTCTGGTACACCACACTATGACTCTCTTTGGCACTGTACCCAAAGAGAAAAGAATGAAATGTCTCTGGCTTTACTCAGCTCATGTTTCCTACTTCCATCCAGGGAAGTCAGTATTTCAGTAAATAGTGCTTTTATTCTATTCTCTGAAGCCCTTATTTGATACACCAAGTGCTCCAAACACCTCAAATATACCTTCTGCAATAGAACTAAGGGTAAGTCAACTTTAGGCTTCATCAGTCCAGCCTTTCATTTCTCAAAAGAAAAGTGTCAAGGAGGAGAGCCAACAGTGTCCGGCTAATGACTTTCTAAATCAGGACTGAGTTTGTGTCAATAAATAACCCTATCTTGCTGCATCTCCCTCAGGGATATTCATCCACCTGAGATCTTCTTTCTCAACCCCAATGTCACATCTTAACAAAATTTGTGATCTCACTGACTTTCTCTAAAGGTCATTTTATCATAGTTATTTTTGATAATACCTGTGGAAGCTTTATCAATTTCCCAAATAACACATAAGCTAAAAAACCCTCTGATTTTGCTTTATGCAGAGGTTGCAGGCCTGTTAAAACAAATGTGCTAATTTAGAAGCACAGCACCCACACTTCATAATAATTTTAAATAAAGAAGCTGCCTTTTATTTATATATATATGTATACTTTTTTTTTTTTTTAATCTCAGAGTTCCACTATGTTGCCCAGGCTGTTCTTGAATCACATGGGTTCAAGTGACCATCGTGATACAGTCTTATTTATAATTCTTTAAAAACATCTATTTCTTGGGTTGGAGGTATGGCTCAGTGGTAGCGCTTCCTAGCACGTATGAGGCCCTAGGTTTGATACCCAGCACCACCAAAGAAAAGTGAATTTCTCAGGTATTCAGTGAGGAAGCTAACCCTTGCCTTCCAGGGTCAGACCACTTCTAGGAGCCATGGGACTATCTATATGAAGGCTCTGGGGTTTCACAGCTTGCAATACCTTATAGTTGGTGGGGTCATAAGTCAGTGCATTTCCAAGATGTTCAAATGCCTTCTGGTAAACACCAAGCTTGAAAAAAGCAAATCAGAGAATTGATATCAAAGGGAACATAGCAGTTTAGGAATCTGGCCAACCACACCCTGAACAAAAACACCCAATCATTGATGACTTTTCTTGACAAAGAGGAAAAAAAAAGAGTTGAACATACCAAAGAAAGAAAGAAAACCCCAAATCCCCATATTTGTGGGCTTTTAAAATTTTACTGATTTGTCTCCAGGTAAGATCAAAGTATCTATTTACCAGAAACCATTTCTGCTACTCTCATGCTGTTCTACATAATGCCTCTGGGCAGGAAATGAGCTAGTTAGCCTCCAGTCCTTTGGGGCCAGCCTCACAAGTCAAAGCCCATGGAGACAGAGGGTTAAGCTCCTGGTTCCTCTTAAAGAAAAATGAAATAAACATAAAGGCTACCAGAGAGGCAGTGGTGGAGGCAGAATCAGCTGAGCAGAGAAACTGATAGTGTAAGCAGGGCTTCATCAGTCCAGAGATCCCTGGGCCCGGGGTCCTCAGGCTGATATAGAAAAGTGATAAAGCCAAAACAATTCCATTCACACTCAGAAATGTAAAGAGGGAGTGAAGACTTTATTCTAGACAAAGTGTCCTTTGCCCTTGCCTTCTCTCTTTCTTATAGGACCCTGGCCAGGAAGAAGGAGCAACAGAAACAGCCTTTACCCCATGCCCTGTGCCATGCTAACTTGATCACAGTTTGTCCCCATAGGCCAAAATAATAGTCCCCAAAACCAGACAGGTGTTTCTCATATATGCTCTTTCCTATTAGATAAGAATTATAATTGAAGTAAGGCAGAATTAAAATTGACTGATTTGAATGAAGAAAGTTAATTCCTTTAGCAAAGAATATCAAATACTGAGAACAAGATTCATGTGTTCCATGTGACTATTGGTAAAATGTGCTAAATATCAAAATGCAGAGAAGTCACTGTATGCACAAACCCCAAAGCATTTCTAACATCAGTGCATGAATGAGTGGAATTTTCATTACCTGTAAATACAGCAACCCTAAAGTTGTAAGAAGTTCTGTGTTTTCTGGTGAGAACCTGCAACATAGAGATGCTCAGAGGGAAACAATGGTTATAAGAGACGATACAAGCATAGCCACCTATCCTTGTGCAACACTTGAGACATTTTGCTGAACCTCCTTCTCCACATGGAAATTTCTGAAGGCAATTTGGTAATTTTTTTCAAAAGTAGGTCATCTGAATCCTGGCTATAGGGAAAATTGCTCAACAACAACAACAAAAATCAAGGCTCTTTTCTTAGGGCCAACATCATATGATCCTGGGTACCAAAAAAAAGAAAGAAAGAAAAATCTATGGTATATTTTGTGTGACTTTCCTTCTTGATTACACTGATACAATTAAAGAACAAAGTTTTAAACACCAAGTCAGTCGGGAACACACATAGTTTAAAGCCAGACCCCTTTTGTGGGATTTCTTCTGTTTTCACTGTGCTCAGGATGCCAGGCAGCATAATTTTCTGTGTCAATTTAGGATTCCAAAACCCCTAATGTTGTACTCTCCAAATTAAACATAAAGCCATACTAAATAGTCAAATTAAACAAAAGAAGGAAGACACATAACAGCCTAGGAAAGAAACTTGGAACTGGCCCTTGGAAGTAAATATTGGCTCAAGTAAAATATATCTCAATCATTAGTATATGTCTTTGTTCAAAAATCAAAGCAACACTGAGTTAAGACTATCTGACTACAGAATCATCAGTTTCAACAGTCATAATACCAAAGGGCCCTGTTTCCTCCTCTTAAGAAATGAGGCAAGATGCTGGTTACTGGTAAGGATCCCAGAACCAGATAAGTCAAAGCCCCAGCCAAGGGATGCCTGAGCTGGCTAAACTAAGCTTTCTCAATTCAGATGAGAACTTGCCTTTCACTTTCTGCCATAATAACACCCATTTTCATTTCTTTCCCCAAGCCACACGAGTAACTTCTATGATTCTTGCAGCAGCCATTTCGCCACACAACATGACTATTCATTCACTCTAAAGCTGTAGGTCATAAAGAATGGCGTCTACCTTCTCAATGAGACTCCAAATGCTCAGCTGTTCCCTTTTATTCCTTGGGAAATTTAGTGACTTAAATCCTTGAGTAACCACCAGAAGAATGTCCCTCTTGGGATTTATGTGCCCTATTTTTGAACAGCCAACTTCTATGAGGCAGGGGTCAGGAGTCAGGGCTGCCCCCATCACCACAGGATACTGAACACAGTTACATGGCTCCTTCCTACTTGCCCCACAATCTTAGCTTCTAACCAACAAATAAAAATGCCTTCTCTCTTTATAGCTTACCAAGGAATTTTTCTGTCCTTTTAGATACAAAGCGTTGTTGAAGAAAATTCAGAAAACAGTGTTGTGGTTGATAATAACCACAAAATTACTACCATGGCAATTGATAATAATAGATATCTTAGTTTAGTTCAGAATCTAATTATCAGGAATAATAGGCCTTGAACTGTAGATCAGACATTTTAAGTGACCAAACAAATGAGACACTTAAAGCATTTTTGTACAGCTATTATACTTAAACGCGTCCCTAGAGAAGAAACATGGAACACTAACATGGGAAAACCATTTAGTTCAGTTATCAACAGTTTAGACTGCCCTAGTGATGTTCTTGAAAAACAAGATAGCGGGGCTAAGGGTGTATAGGTCAGGGGTAGAGCACACACCTAGCATGTGTAAGGCCCTGGGTTCAAGCCCAAGCAACAAAACAAGATATGAGTTTCAAGCTAATAAGAGAAGATATTTATTACTGAGCTAAGAGATTTTTGTCCCTAATAATATCTCTGGATATATTAATCTATTATAAAGTATAAAAAAAAGAATGGCAGATTGGCAGCTGACCCCCAAATCTTGCTGAGTATGTCAGCCTACTTCCCTTGCAGCTATGTGTTCCTTCCTGACCAATTTTGAACCATGAAATGTGAGTAGGAACTATGTGTGCAATTTGTGGGTCACCTAAACTCACTACCAGATGCTCATTCCATATTCAGATTCAAGTACCACTTCCCTTCACCATAGCCTGAAACATGGATGTTGTATTACAGTATCTCAGCTTCAATCATATAGGCAAAGGAATCTTGGGCTAATATGGAAGGAATCTAGATCCCAGGTTGGCTTTGTGAACAAAGCTACCAGCTAGCCTACAACAGCCATCTTTACAGGTGAGAAAGAAACAGTCTACCTTATTGATGCCATTCACTGGCAGCTCTTATCTAAACTTTAGCTTACCTTTCATTCTAACTTATATAAGTAGTAATCAATCACATATATCTTCTCTTAGGCTTGGGAGTTCACATGTTGTCATTTTTTTTTTTTTTTAAGTTTCTTATTGCTCTAAAGGTAATAGACACACTTACTCCACTGCTTTCTTGTAGATTTCTATGGCCTTGTCCAAGTCTCCCTCCAGCAAGTGAATCTTCCCCAGCATTGTGTAAGTCAGATCATGCCTGTTAAGCTGTAGGGCATTGTGCAGCTGATCTTGTGCCTAACAAATTTGATGCAGTAAAGAGAACAAAATCACCACCATAGGAAGAACAATGGCCTGCTGAACAAATGTAGGAATATTATGTTAGAGCAAATAGCCCACACCACCCAAAGACCAAAAAGTCCTAAAGCTGTCCTTGTTGACAAGACAGCTAGCAACACAGGCTGTCTGCCTCTGCAGTCACCTGGGAGCGTTCTTCCAAGATGATTAATCTTTCTGAAAGTTTTTCTGCTTGGCATTCATATCTATGACTCACACTTTGTAAATCAAAAGAGACATCAGTTGGGTGTGGTGGCGCACTCCAGTAATCTCAGCAACTTGGGAGGCTGAAGGAGAAGGATCGCAAGTTCAAGGCCAGCCTCAGCAATTTAGCAATGCCCTAAGCAACTCAGTGAGACCCAATCTCCAATAAAAAATGAAAAGGGCTAGGATGTTGCCCAGTGCGTAAAGACCCCTGGGTTCAACCCCTTGTACGGGGCAGGGCAGGGGACCATCAGAGGACAATGTAGAGTGCCACATCAAATTCTATCCTAGCTGCACCACGGACTGACTATACAATCTTCCCCAGCATAGGCCTCATTTTCCCCACCAATGTGATGACAAATAAATGAATAAATGGTACCCTATGTATGGGTATCATTGCACAAATGGTATGACTCTACATCATATTCAACTAGAGAAATAAAAAGTTGTGCTCCATTTGTGTAAAATATAAAAATAAATGAATAAATGGCTTATTCTCATTTATTCACTCAATGAGTGTTCATGGAATATTGGCTATTTTAGGTACTAGGTACACTAGAGTTAACAGCCGTAACAATTAAGACCTCCTTTTTCTCGGGAAGTTTATATCTTAGTAGATAGACAAAACAGTTCTATGACTCACTGTTTCAACAGTGTTTATATAATTGCCAGGTATTATATTTGCTTAGCCTGTTAGCTTTACAGTAAAATCTAACTATAATTCTCCTTCTCATCAGTACAGTTCCAACTAAAGACCAATCCCACCTCTCCTCTGGCTCAAAACAATCCTGTGAATTGAAATGTTCACAATATTCTCAGAGAAAAATCTAATCAAGGCTATAAAACTGTAAATCCATTCAGAAAACCTAAGGGGCCCACAAAATATATATTTTTCATATATATATATATATAAATTAATATCTATCTCACAGGAGAAAAACTGTTAATGTGTAGACTCTTTTTTTTAATATTTATTTTTTTAGGGGGTGTAGATGGACACAACACAATGCCTTTATTTTTATGTGGTGCTGAGGATCGAATCCTAGTCCCGCCCATGCTAAGCGAGCACTCTACTGCTGAGCCACAATCCCAGCCTATGTAGACTCTTTTCATATCCATAAGGGATACATCAGGTTATACCAGTTTATAAATTGAAACAATTTATAAACATTGTCAAATTGGTATTAACCAATTCAGAGTCTCAGTCTCGGTGGCACTAGAGAATAAAACTTCATGACTACTAAGTGGGAACTTTATGAAGAACACTCTACCCAATCTCACTATCACTAACTTTCAGGTCTCTCAGTAATTTCTTCTATTCCTCAATTAATATGTATACATTTCTTTCTGAGCCTAGAGCTTAATCACAATGAAATACAAGTTCTCATCATAAAAAAAATCAAAACTAAAAGTTAAAACTAAAAATTGTCAGAAAACGGATTCAGTTTAAATTTAAAATTCATTTTCAGTAACATTAAAAACTAAAATCAGTTGCTGTGAGAGCAACTTTAAGACTTAAAAATTTACTTTTTGATATCTATATTATTGAACATTTGTTTCTACTGAAAATTTGTTTCTACAAACACTGGGGGTGGAGAGAAAGAAGAAAGGGGGGAATACACTGTCATTCATAGTATTTCCAAAATTTCCATTTTCTTGTCAAAAGCAAGGGAAGACAAGATGAGTAATGATGAATGAGCATTAACATAGCGATAAATGTATAAGGTGCATTTCCTAAAGCTCTGTAAACACTAGAGAGAATACAAAATGAGCAATGGCACCTATGTAACACAATCACACACTTCAGTGAAATTCCAGTCAACCACCATCAGCCCTTCTATAAATTACCTTATTGAACTGCTTCAGATAAATGTAGCAAACTCCTAGGTTATGGCAGATTTCCTACATACAAAAAAAAAGGAAAATGGCTTAGGTCTAATTCATAGTAAGCTTTAGAGTGAAACAACAGGCATCAAGAGTGTTATTGTTCAGCAAAGTGTAAACTTTGAAATGGGCACTACAGTATTTTTTCTAAGTAGAGTTCATATAATCAATATATGTATTCTACAAAATTAGTTCCCTTATATATATTTTTAAATTAAAATAATAAGAGAAAAAAGCAGAATAAATAGGTGATTTTCCTGGATCTATATGGCTCCTTGAAGATACACACCCAGCCCATCTTCCTACCATTTTTTCTCTAAAAGCTGTCCACTACCCACATCCTTTGTGCCCTTTTCTTAGAAGAAACTATTCAAAGCTCCTGTTGAGAGGACTGCTAGCCACATAGCTCCATCCTTAAAGAAATCCTCTGTCCATCTCTGGGCACCTGAAGCAATCAGAATCCTCTTTCTAGGAATCTACAATTGGAACTGATCTAGCTAGTTGCAAGCACTAAATTCACAAGGTGATGTGGACTTGGGAGCTGACAGCGCCATCTGGAGGTCACTATGATAAAATGTATGTAATTGCAGTCAATCTGCAGAAATTCAAAAAAAGCATAGGTCAGAAAACTATGGCCCATGGGCCAAATCATTCCCTGCCCTCTTCTATAAATAATGTTTTATTGGAACACAGCCACAGTCCCTTGTTTTCGTATGGCTCTTTTGCACTAGAATTGCAGAGCTAAGTAGCTACAATAGAGTCTGTATTAAGCTGCAGTCCCCCTACCTCCACCCCATTTCCCCAGACACTAAGGATTGAACACAGGGCCTTACACATGCTAAGAAAGCACTTACCACTGGGATATACCCCCAGCTCTTTTTTAATTTTTTATCATGATATGGTGTTTTGCTAAGTTGCCTAGGTTAACCTTGAACTTGAGATCCTCTTCCCTTAGCCTCCAGAGTAGCTGGGATTACAGGTGTGCACTATCATGCCTAGCTAAGGGGCCCTTTACAAAAACAACAACAACAACAACAAAATTTGCCAACCTCTGAATACAGAAAGAAAAGATGAAGCAAAAATGCAGAGTAACTACCTTGGTTGCTGCCAATGTTCTAGTTCTAGTTCACTATAAGTCAACTTGTACTCTTGACCTTAAGTGTTGTGGAATCTCTCAAATAACTTTATAATGAACTTTCCTCTATTTAGGGTAGCTTTAGAGAAAGAAAGAAAGAAGAAAATGCTCTTGGGAAACATTGTAAGGAACCCCGGTTAGTAGTGTGGATGTGTCCCTGTCCAAGGAACATGGACCACAAGTGCTAGACACAACTAGTTTAATGTTTTCCAAGACTCCTAAAATAACAAAAATCAATCACTGATTAATTTTTATACAAAAATTAATATACAATATTAATTTTTATACAATAGGCTCAATGCCAGATGTTTTTGCATATATTATTTAAATTTTTCCAACAAATCTGCAATGTATAATCTTTCCAATTTTACAGAAAATAAAACTGAAGCTCACAGAGGTTAAGAAGTTTAATTAATTCAGGAAGTATCAGCACTGGAATTTTTCCCTTCTTTTTTAGTTCCACATCCTAATCATATATAAATGTAGTTGGAATGGCCATGAATTCATCCAATTCATATGCCATCTACTTTTACTACTTTTGTAACCAAATAACAAACAGCAAAACATTTCAGCATGTATTTCTGAAAGTCTGAAAGAGGTTTCTTTTTTTTTTTTTTTTGAACCCATTTATAATACCACTATCACACCCAAAAAAAATTACTAACTGCTCTATATCATACATTCAATTACGGTTAGATTTTCCTATTGTCTCATAAATGTTTCACATTTTAAAAAATTACTTTTCTTAATTCACAAATCACATTCACATGTCAAAACACTAGGACTTGACCTCTGGCCTGCCTCCAAAACTTGCGTACTTTTCACTTCATCATGCTATAGAAATGTACACATGGAGACAGAATCGGGGAGAATATAGCCTTTCTTCTCCTTTCCATGTCCTGAAGGTTAACTAACCCCTAACCTTTTTTAACCATTTGCTCTAGATATTATTTGAGAGGGAAGCAGTTATATGCCTTAAACAAACTAAGAGAAAAGGAAATTTGGAAAGGAAAACAAAATAAATCAGAGTCAAATTCTGTCTTTTATGAGGTGAAGGAATCCTATAGACATCTGCAAATGCAGATGGTGTGGTAGAAAGATTCCAGCATTAAAGTGAGCAATCCTAGATTCTAGATTGAGTTCTAACACTGGTTCTGTCTCTAACTCACTGTATGCCCTTTTTTTTTTTAATTTTTTTTTTTAAATTTTTCGGCGGACACAACATCTTTGTTTGTATGTGATGCTGAGGATCGAACCCGGGCAGCACGCATGCCAGGTGAGCGCGGTACCGCTTGAGCCACATCCCCAGCCCACTGTGTGCCCTTTGGCAAGTCATTCCAAGCCTCAGCTTTCTCACCTTTCAATGATGAAAATTCTCCCTACTTAAGAGAATTGCTCCAAAAGTCAAATAAAATAATGTCAGGCAGAATTATTAGTCTCCTGTTGCAGCCAGACATGGAATATCCTGGTAAATCCAAGAAGGTAGGGCTAGAAGTCTTCCTAAGACACTTATAAAGCATAGTAGAGAGTATCTGGCTATTTGGGAAATGAACACTTCTAACTGGTACCAATGGAATGATTATCCAAGTGAGTCAGAAATAGCATCTTTGCATCTCCAGAGTATAGCTTACTGTCTGGTACATAGTAGACATTAATTTGATGAAAATATTAATTAAAAAGTACAAGAATTTTAAAAATGTATTTGTTGATGCTCGGGATTGAACCCAGCACCAATAAATAAGCTACACCCCTAGCTGGATTTTTCCTTTACTTGTAGCTTCACTTTTGTCTTCAGCTGTAAAATATTCTATGGCATAAAGAGTCAAAACAACTAAAAAAAGAATAAAAAAGACTCAAACAACTTAATCTTCAAACCTACAGAAGAAAAGTGACTGGCAAATTTAACACACTTAAAAAATATTAGTGACAAAGGAACTTCAGGGAAACCCATGCAATGCAAGCTCTCTGAGCTAATCAATCTATTCCTTCTCTCAGAGATGAATGTCTCTCCCAGAATCATCAAATACTTGAAAAAAGTCTCAGCCTGGACATTCTAGGACCACCAAATCAATGCCAGCAACTATTTATCTGAACTTTAGTTACATGAAGAAAAAAAAATAACCCCTTAATTTGCAAAGCCAATGTTTAGTCCAATTTTCTGCTACAATTAGACACAATCACCAAGATATAAAAGTAATGGAGAACTACTCAAACTTTCCCACCCCAAAGAAAAGCAAGGATTTTCAGAATGAAATGGCCAGATGAGTGTCAAATAGATGGGGAAGAAAAAAATAAATCAAATACAATTAGACTTATTGCTAATGGTTTGAAATGCTAATGATAAAAAAAAATCTCCAAAGTTTCTAGAGAGAAAAGTGGAGTTACTAACAAGAATCAGACTGTAACTGCTCACTAGCAACAATGACACTTAGAAAACCATGTAGTAATATCTGCAAAGTATGAGGAAACATGATTTTTGATCCTATAATTAGCAAAAGCATCAACAAAATTTGAGAATATACATTTTTGGCATATAAGAATTCTATAATAACTTATGATAGTCATTTCATAAATGGAACCATTAGCATGCTTACTAAAAGACACTACTGAAAATTCCCTACTTACCCAATCTTTCTGGTTCAGTTTAGCTGCTTCATTATACACTTCAGTGGCAGCTTTATGTTTTCCCAAAAGAAATCTGTAAAAGATGCATTTTCCATAATTATTACCTCAAAATTCTTAGAAGTCTATCTTCACTAATCCCACTTTTGGGGGGGAAGGGAGGTACTAGGGATTAAACTCAGGGGGCACTTGACCACGGAGCCACATCCCCAGCCCTACTTTGTATTTAGAGACAGGGTCTCACCGAGTTGCTTAGCACCTTGCTGCTACTGAGGCTGCTTTGAACTCATCATCCTCCTGCCTCAGCAACCCAAGCTGCTAGGGTTACAGGCATGTGCCACATTTTGTTCATATTACACTCTCTGGAAATTCTAGAAGACATTTTTCTTGGGTTGGTCATGCTAGAAAGGCTAGGCAGGCTGCTGCACACCAACAGCAGAAGCTGTCTTGGTAAACACTGCACTGGCAGCTGTTGCAAGGCCTTTGTCTCATTATACACCAATTTTGGTTAAAGTATTCTATTATTTTTTTTCTATAAATATAGATCAAAAAAGAAACAAGCCAAATGATATAAAATTAAGCAAGAGCTGCCATCATTTATCAACATCATCATTTTTCCTTGATACTGGATCATGAACAGGAAAACCTGCCTCTATGTAAAAACAATGGAGGCATAAATGACAATGTAGGGAAGAAAATGAAGGAGGGAACCCTAATGAACACTCTACTACTCTGGAAAAGGAGAATCTGACACCTTATAAATATTTTGGAGATTACTTCCACTTAGAAAACTTTAGGGCATCCATACAACAAATACTAAAATACTTCTCTGTGTCAAGTATCATAATAAGTGTTGAACAGCAGACCAGGAAAATTCCATGGGTTGCCAATATGATTAGAGGACTTAAGGTACAAGATGGTGTTATTTATGTGATAAGCAGTATGACTGTTCTTCAAATTAGAATGCACAATGACTACAATATCTGGTTTCGGTAGTATTTTTGTTTATTTGGTTTGGGGTGGGTTTTGTTTTCCCCCAGTGCTCAGAATTAAATCCAGAAGCACTCTATCAGTAATCTATATCCCCAGCCTTTTAATTTTTTATTTTGACCATTTCCAGAGAGGGTCTCACTAAATTGCTCAGTCTGGCCTCAAACCTGAAATTCTCCCTCCTGAGCCTCCCAAATTGCTGGGATTACAGGCACATACAATCACACCTGGCAAAATACTTAGTTCTTTGATACTACTTTATCTTTTTTTCCTCAAATTTCAAGATGAATCCACACTTTTCAAATGAATCCCATTATACCTATCAAGCCATTTTCCTCCACTGTATCAGTCTACCAGCAGCAGGCTCAGCCTAAGAATGCATTTTACATTGTATTCCATGACTTCCTTAGGGTCTCCAGGCTGCCAATACTCACAAAGATCTGGCCACCTGCTTGAGGTTATCAGCACACTGAGGGTTAAGAATCGCACATGTCTGAAAGAGTTCTAGGGATTCCTGAATGTTTCCTTCCAGGCGAAATATCAATGCTGCCAAGAAAGACAAAATAAAATCATGTTCTAGGAAACAGAGTCTGGCATCAGAAAAATTGAAAAATGGGAAAATGGGAAACCACATGCAAAATACCCTTTGGATAATTATGTCTTAAATCTAATCATATATTACTTCAGATGGTTGAAACAAGCAAAACTGACATAAGCTAAAACTTCTTATAAAATAAGGTTAACTCAAACCTCCCTATCCTCTAAGCATCCACTACACACAGATTTCTTTGCAAATTATCACAGAAACTTCACAAGAAGAACATATTGAAGGGGCTGGGATTGTGGGTCAGTGGTAGAGTGCTTGCCTAGCACACGTGAAGCACTGAGTTCGATTCTCAGCACCACATAATAAATAAATAAATAAATAAAGGTATTGAGTTCCATCTACAACTAAAAAAAAAAGAACATGCTGGGCTTCCTCATCAGATACTTTATTATAATTCAGATTTCTACTTCACAATGTACAGAAAGAAACCCAGAATGGTACAAATGGAATCAATACCTCATGTCCAACAAGGAGTTTTTGTCAAATCTTTTTATTATATTAGTTTTCAGTAAAGTTACCTATTAAAACCATTAATTTTTCTTAGGCCTAAGTTTTCAGAAGAATTTATCAGACACTGGGAGTCTAGAACTGGTGATATTGGCAATAAAAGAGCAAATTTTTTTTTTGCCATGATATCCTAAATGTTTCAATATCTTACAAATGATATCAGAAAAGCTTATATTAATCTGAAAATTATAAGCAATGAATGGTAAGCAAACCATTCATTTATACTTAAAAGTCAAAACAGAATTCCTGGAAAAACTAAAGAATGCCACTTTGGGCATTAAAGAGTAAAATTTAAGTGGATGGTTCCTGTTTTGGTTTCTGAAGAGTTCAATTTATCATCTGATTTATCCTATACAACTCTAGGCTTCTTCTCTTCCTCCTGACTTCTTTACAAAATCCTCAAAGCCTTTTCTCATATCCTTTAGCTAGACTACAAGGAACTCTTCCAAAGCATTTTCTGGCCCTGAAACCACAGTGTGAGGCAGTGATCATAAGCATCCATTCTGAAAAAGAATGCACAGGAACTTACAAAGGGGTGTATGATGGTAGTAATTTTTTGCATAGTACTAATCACTTCTGAAGTCAAAGAATTATGTTCAGATTCAAAAAATACTGAGCAAGACCTCAGTGGAACATTTACTTGAATTTAAGTATTTCATAAGTTGGCCTTTTTCCAAGAACCTAAGCCAAGTATATTTCTCCATTAGGAAGAAATATGTGACTTACCTTGGACATAGATAGCATACTCACACAACCCCTGAGTCTCCTGAAGCTGTTCTTTGATAATGGCCTGAAAGAGGAAGAAAAATACCTCAGAATTTTTAAAAATTTTTTTTAGTTGCAGATGAACACAATACCTTTATTTGTTTGTTTATTTATTTATTTTTATGTAGTGTTGAGGATCAAACCCAGTACCTCACATGTGCTAGGCAAGCGCTTCACCACTGAGCCACAGCCCCAACCCCAGAATTTTTTTTAAATCTCAACTTTTGTTGGGATTACATTTTTTAAAATGGGGTTGACAAATTACAGGACTCACAAGCCACTTTTGTACAGCTCTCAAGCTACGAGTGGTTTTTACATTTTCAAAGAGTTACAAAAAAATAATAAAAAATAATAAGATACTGCATCTGGCCTGCAAAACATTAAACTATTTAGCCAGGCGGGGTGGCTCACACCTGTAATCCCAGGGTTCAGGAGGCTGAGGCAAATTCAAAGCCAGCCTCAGCAACTTAGTGAGGCCACAAACAGCTGAGCAAGACCCTGTTTCTAAATAAAATATTAAAAAAAAAAAAAAAAGGCTGGGGATATGGCTCAGTGGTTAAGTGCCCCTGGGCTCAATCCCCAGCACACACACACACACACACAAAATTAAACTATCTTACTACCTGGCTTAGCACAGAAAAAGTTTGTCAACCCCTGTCTAAAATCTAACTAGACAAACTATTAAAATGTGAGATTTTCAAGGACCATGATAGATGCCAGTGATTCCCTGATAAGTGAACCATAGCCTCTTTGTTTTTTAGTTGTAGATAAATACATACCTTTATTTTATTTATTTATTATTATGTGGTGCTGAGGATCGAACTCAGTGCCTCATACATGGTAGTCAAGTGCTCTATCACTAAGCTACAACCTCAGCCCACCATAGGCTCTTTTTACTACTATGGACTAAACCCAAGATGCTATAATAGCTCAGGGGGCAAGCATCTGATTCTAACTTGAATTAGGGAAGGCTTTCTGGATTTGTTTCAAACTTCATGTTGGCAGGAGCTGGAAGAGAAGCTGAGATACCAAGACTTTCAGAGAGGAAGACTTCAAATGCCATATCAAAAAGTTTGAGTGTAATGGGGAAAAGTTTTAATCAGGAAAAAACCCAATTCTGTTTGTTATACAGAAATATCACTTTGGAAACATGTTAAAAACAGAATGAAATGAAACAATATTAAAGGCAAGGTTGGTAGAACTCTTGAGGTAGTTTAAATTGTAATAATGAGGATTAAGGCAGGAAGAGGGGAGAAAGTAGACAATTTCAAAAGGTGGTAAGAGAAGGCCCTCCAGACTTGATGATTATCAAGAAATGGATGAGGGAACTATGACACATTCACAACTGGGTGAATGATGGATGAAATCCATCTCTGAGATGGGAAATGGGATAAGAAATAGGTTTAGAAGGGAGCAGATTAATTCAACCACAGGCAAGTTGAATTTGAAATGCTTGTGGGCATTTCAAACTGATTTGGAAATCAGAAGAAATGTGTTGAATGAACAAAGGGATCAAGCAACTAGGAAATCCCCAACTCTTGAGAAATAATTAGAAGGCTGGGCAGGGTGGTACACACCTGTAATCTCATTGAGTGGGGAGGCTGAGCCAGGAGGATCACAAGTTTGAGGTCAGCCTGGGCAATTCAACAAGACTCTGTCTCAATAAATAAAAAGGACTGGAGAAGTAGCTCAGTGGTAAAGGGGCTCTAGGTTCAATCCCCAGTACTGTTAAAACAAACAAAAAAACCCCAACAACAACAAAAACCCCAGCAGCAGCAGCAGAGGAAGAGAAGCCAAACAAACAAGGAAACTGAAAAGTGGTCAAAATGAAAAGGGAAACAAAAAAAGGGTAAAATCACAGAAGGAAAACAGAAAGAGGAAAATTTCAAAATTTTTACTGGCACTAAAGATCATTATATCTTTGCACTGTTTAAAAGCCAAAATTTAAGAAGCATCACAAAGCTCTGAATGCTTAAAAAAAAAGACAACACTATAGATTTACTTTGCATGTTAATACTACTACCATCTGACAGCAAATTTTTAACATATACAGTAAAGATGGAAAATAAATGGTTTTTATTTAAAACCTTTTTTATATTTACACAAATGATGATCAACCTCACCATAATTAAGAGAATTATCTTATCTATCCAAGGATCAAAAAAACAGATAATACAGTGAGGTAAACATCTGTTTCCATCAAGAAACCAAGAAGTCCCAAAAAATGACTGCCCTTTCAGATTTGCCTTGATATGAGAAGATACATGGAACACACCTGAACCAGACCCAAAAAAGTCTATAGTCAAATCTGGCCAACCCACAGTCAATCTGGAGGCCCATGAGCAATGAATAAATGCCACTAAAACTTTAAGGCAGCACTATCATAGCAAAGCTAACCAATATATAATGTGTAAGGAAGAATGAATTCACATTTTATTAGTGGAATATCAACTGCCATACTGTGCTGCAGACAGTTAGTTGTCTACCCCACAGCCTGCCTCCCATTTCCTCTTATCATTGCAGCCTCTCACCTTGCATGCTTCATAATCCTTCCGGATATAGTGGAGATGTATCAACCAGTTCTGCTTCTCCAAAATAGGAAAGTCTGGGACTAGAGAGCATATTATGACTAAACAAATGACACAAGCATTATTCGATTATTTTCCTTTTAGTGTTGTTCTAATGTCTAAATAAATCTTAAGCATATTGCAATACCCCAATTATTTATGCTGCTGATTATAAGAATATGTTATAGTGCATCAAAATATATAGACTATTAAACTAAGAGATACTTGTCCTACTATTACACATTGGATATATTTTTTTTTCTCTAGAGTTTTTGTGTCTTATATAACATCAGTTTTTCACATGATAACTTGGCCTACAAAACAAATCTCTTCTCTCTCTCTCCCCCCATGATTATAGAAGGTGACTAGGAAGTCATTTAATGACGATTTCAGAAATATTTCTAACAAAATATGTTTAACATAGTTAATGTCATACCTGATCAAAGTACCAAAAACACTGTAAATAGTTAAACACAATCTTTAGAAATAGCTCAAATGGGAACATTATACTGTTGCTTAAGGAATAAGAAGTCAACAATGAAAAAAAATCTATTTGAATCACCGAATATGGCTCATGATTAAGAAACTCAATAGAGGTAAAAAAATTCATTAATAAATCATTTTTCTATGGTATAAAGGAGAAGGATCAACACCTGCCTTAGAATAGTGAAAACCTTGAGAAAGAGGGCAGAGAAGATTGAGAAAAGATAAAAAGTAGACTTGAATCTAATGCTAACTTCTCAAAAAAATAAAAAGCTTTAAAGTAAAAAATAACTGAATGTTTTTATTTTTAAATCTGGCTGGTGACATACAGTACAATTCTCTCAGTAGAACTGCACTTCTAAAGGGCCTTTATGAGTTCCTTCCTCCCTCCCTTGCTTTTTTCCTTCCTTCCATATTCGGGATTGGACTCAGAGGAACTTAACCACTAGCCACATCTTTTGAGACAGGTCTCGCTAAGTTACTTAGGGCACTTGCTAAGTTGCTGAGGCTGGCTTTGAACTTGTGATCCTCCTGCCTTAGCCTCCCTAGTCACTAGAATTACAGGCATGCACCCCCGCACCCAGTTCTATTTGATATTTTTCTATCACTTATTTCCTTCCTTCTCTGCCTACCAGATCTTAGCCATTCACATTCTGTATAACCACTGAATTAAATTTCACATGATAACTTGGCCTACAAAACAAATTTCTTCTCTCTCTCTCCCCCCATGATTATAGAAGGTGACTAGGAAGTCTTTTAATGACGATTTCAGAAATATTTCTAACAAAATATGTTTAACATAGTTAATGTCATCACCTGATAGATCAAAGTACCAAAAACACTGTAAATAGTTAAACACAATCTTTAGAAATAGCTCAAATGGGAACATTATACTGTTGCTTAAGGAATAAGAAGTCAACAATGAAAAAAAATCTATTTGAGGGCTGGGGATGTGGCTCAAGCGGTAGCGCGCTCGCCTGGCATGCGTGCGGCCCGGGTTCGATCCTCAGCACCACATACAAACAAAGATGTTGTGTCCTCCAAAAACTAAAAAAAATAAATATTAAAAAAAGAAAGAAAAGAAATATTAAAAAAAAAATCTATTTGAATCTGAATTAAATTTCCTGTTAAAAACCACACAAATCAGGGCTGGGTTTGTGAGTCAGTAGCAGAGTGCTTGCCTAGCATGTGTGAGTCACTGGGTTCAATCCTCAGCACCATATGTAAATAAATAAAAAATAAAGGTACATCAATAACTAAAAAATATTTATTAAAAAAACAAATCACTGAGATTGAAGATGTGTGTATATGTGTAAAATGGGTAAAGAAGTGCATAATGAAGAGTACTGGGACAAGTGGCTTACTGAGTAATCTTGGACCAACTTCTCATATTTATTTATTGAGGTGGGAATCAAACCCAGAGCCTTGCATAAGCTAGGCAAGTACTCTACCACTGAGCTACATTCCCAGTCCCTTGACCTACTTTTAATTGTATGGCCTATCCCTCTGTCACTTAGGCATTAAAGGAAATAAGTTAAAAAAAAGGAGGAGCCACCAAACCATTCTGAGTTTAAACATTACTCTATACCATTGCTTCTGCAGCCTAAAAATTTATAAAATGTAAATTTTCTCATCTTGACTATTATTAAAATGTCACAATAAAAGAAAAGTCATGTTTTGTAATCCTGAATGAATTTACAAGGTAAATTAGAGGTTTATGTTACCACAGAGGTCAGTGACCTGGTAATGAAGGGAAGACAAAGTAATGCCTTTCAACTAGTTGTAAAAATGACCACCCTCAGGGCTGGGGTTGTGGCTCAGCAGTAGAGCGCTCCTCTAGCAAGTAAGGCCCTGGGTTCGATCCTCAGCCGCACATAAAAATAAAATAAAGGTATTGTGTCCAATTACAACTAAAAAATAAATATATATTTTTAAAAAATGACCATGCTCTTATCTCCAACTCTACAGTGCCCCTCTAGCATCCTACTAAGGCAGTAAGAGCAGAAGGCTGGCAATCTGGCAAAAATACTCCCTTGCCCCTTCTCTTTTCTTGCCTCTTTCGTGACATCTCTTACCCCTCTTTCTTCCTTTAAGATTATAAGCCCAACATATTTAAGCAATTCCATAACAGAATAAACATGACCCCATAAGAATTCTCCTCTATGGCAAATGTCCTAGGTGCCAAATATTCTTAGAAGTGGCCCTAATACAAATCTTTATATTAATCTTGGGTTAATGCCCAAGTTTAAAATTTGTGATGGAATCCTGGGTAAATGAAAGCTAAGCAGGAAATTACTGTGGTTCAAATTTTTAGTTGAACGTTTTCCTAAAACAACTAGGAATTTTCTAAGAGCACTATAAATAAAGCCTTGAGACTTTCAGATATGATAAATAAATTCAGCAAAGTAGAATACAAAATCAACATATAAAAATCAATAGCTTTTCTTTACACTAACAATGAGCTCACTGAGAAACCAGAAAAACGATTTCATTCACAATAGCTTCAAAACATAAATACATACAATATAAATACCATATTCAGAAATAACTGTAACCAAGGAGGTAAAAATTGCTAATTTTCTATGATGAAAATTACAAAACACTGAAATAAGAAATAAAAAATGACACCAGAAGATGAAAATACCTCCCATGTTTATATATTGGCAGAATTAATATTGTTAAAATGGCCACATTACTGAAAACAATCTATAAATCAATGCAATCTAAATCAAAATATCAATGGCATAGCCACTTGGGAAGCTGAGACAGGAGGATCTCAAGTTCAAGGCCAGCCTCAGCAACTTAGTAAGGAACTGTTTCAAAATAATAAGTAAAAAGGGCTGAGATGTAGCTCAGTGTTAAGTGTCCCTGGATTCAATTCCCAGTACAAAAAAGCAAACAAACAACAAACAGTCATCACAGACTAGAAAAAAAAAAATTCTAAAATTCACGTGGAAGCAAAAATGAACCCAAGTTGCCAAAACTATCCTTAGCAAAAAGAATATTTCTGGAGGTATCACAATACCTGATCTCAAAATATACTAGAACAGTATCAAAATACACTGTTTTTATACCAGCATGGTACTGGTAATAAAAACAGACAAGCAGACCAATTGAATAGAACAGGGAACACAGAGACAAAAGCCAGTACTTATAGCTAGCTGATTCTTGCCAAAAACATACCATGGAAAAAATCCTCTTTCAACAAATAGTGCTGGGAAAACTGGATATCCACATGTAAAAGACTGAAACAAGATTCCCCCCTGTCTAAAAATCATTTCAAAATAGATTTTAAAAAATCATCTCAAAAAGACCTAAAATACAAGGCCTGAAACTTTGAAACTGCTAGAAGAAAACAGGAGACAAACTTCAAGACATAGATACAAGGCAATGACTTCCTGAATAGCTAAGGAAATAATAGCAAGAATCAACAAATGGGATCATGTCAAATTAAAAAGCTTCTGCATAACAAAAAGAAATAATAAACAGATTGAAGAGACATACTACAGGATGAGAGAAAATCTTTGCCTGCTACTCTTCCCACAGAGGGTTAATATCCATACTATATAAAGAATTCAAAAAACAGACTGGTGATACAGGGTATGGTGGAGTGCTTATTGGCATGCATGAGGCCCTGGGTTTAATCTCCAGTACTGCAAAAAACAAACTCAAAAAACTTAACACTAAAAAGCCAAATTCATCAATAAATGAGCAACTAAAATGGCTAATTCTCAAAGAAAGTATCAACAGCCAATAATTACATGAAAAAATGTTCAACAACTGAGAAATGCAAATCAAAACTATATTGCAATTCCGGGGCTGGGATTGTGGTTCAGAGGCAGAGCACTCACCTAGCATGCATGAAGCACTGGTTTGATCCTCAGCACCACATAAATATAAAATAAAGACATCGTGTCCACCTATAACTAAAAAATAAATATTAAAAAAAACTATACTGCAATTCCATCTTACCCCAGGCAAAATAGCTAGATCAAGAAATATAAAAAAACAAACACTACATGCTTTTGAGGACTCAGGGGGAAAAGGAACCCTGATATACTGTTGGTGAGAATGTAAATCAATACAGTCATTATAGAAATCAGTATGAAGGTTCCTCAAAAAACTAAAAATAGAACTATTATATGATCCAGTGATACAACTCCTGGGTATACACCAAAAGGAATTAAAATCAGCATACTATAGAGATATCTGCATACCCATGTTTACCCCAACACAATGTACAACAGCCAAGTTATGGAATCAGCCTAATGCCTGTCAATGGATGAATGGATATATATACAAAATAGAGTATTATTCAGCTATGAAGAAGAAAAAAATCGTGTCATTAGGAAAATGGATGGAACCAGAGATCAAATGTTAAGTAAAATGAGCCAGACTCCCTCACATGTTTTCCCTCATATGTGAAACCCAGGACAAATGAAAGCAGAAGGGAGATTGTTAGAGAAAAAGAAGGAAATGAGGAAGAGGGGAGAGTAAGTAGGGCAATGGGGGTGAATATAATCAAAGTATGTTATATATGCACATATGAATACGCCACAATGAAATCCATTGTTCTGTA